GTTCAGCATAATCATTGACAACTCTTCAAATTCTTCATGTTTCTAACAGCACTCATATACTGTTCAATGCCAATCCATGTAGAAGGAGGTTCAAGTAAAAACCATTGATCCGTATAAAGTGGGGCGAAAAAGGACTTTTAAGTGTGGAGACATGAAATCTCATTTGTTTTGTTTTTAGATCATCAGCATCAGTCCATTTCAAGCTTCTTGTTTTTCTGCTTTCCTATCTTTCAAAATGTTTGAAAGACAGATAGATTTGGTAGATAGATGCAGAGGAAAAGGAAATGCTTTCTCAATTTTTGATCGCATATAATTTTTCTCTGCGACCTTCACTGCGAGAATAAGCACAATGCTATGAACGGTTCAGTCAAATACCATAAATGAAGTTTCATGGCACTTATGGTCATGGTCTTCTCGTTCTCTCATTTCTGTCTCTCAACTTCAACTTCAGCATGTTGAGATAGTTAATTAGGGCTGAAAACCTGGCTTTCGTGTAAATTATTTGCATTTTTTATTATGTTAATTTTATGACATTTTGTTCCTAATAGTTTTGCTATCATTGCTCATTCCCAAAATTTCAAAACCTCTCAAACAGCTTCTGTTGCACTTTCATGGATTTCTTTCGATTGTTGGAGGTAGAAAATATTTGGAGTGATTTTAACTTTGGTGGTAATTTATCTCCAGGAACCTCTATCAGAGGCTGTCCGATGAGCCATATTTCAGAATTACCTCTGGTCTTTGGAACACTGCCACTTCTTTTTCCATTCATTTTGCATTCATATAGGGGGGGGGGGGAAGAAAAATTTGCATGAAACGATATTGCATGAGCCAAAAAAATCGATGATACACTATAGATAATTGGTGACGTTATAGATAGTAGGTCTCCTACAAGGGCGATCTTCCTGCGACTTGAATATTGTTGCACTACCTCTAAATATCAACCGATTGAGTTGAAAATTGTCATGCGATTCTATCTTGGGATATGTACAAGAATGGGAGTAGGACTTAGATTATTATTTTTACAATTTTGTTAACCACCCTACTGCACAATTATATTACGAGGACATGACATAAAAAATGCAGCCAAATGAGATAAATCTGAGAGGTGCTGAGACTGCGTCTATACAGATGGCCTAGGCACTTAAAATTCTCGGAAAATAAGTTTTGCTGCAGTTTTAATGGTTACAAAAAAAGTTAAGGGCCCAGAATTTTGCGGTTGGTTTCATAGGCCAAACAGGACTTTTTTTTAAAGTTTTTTATTTATTATTATTTAGTTTTTACGAACGGACCGCATAACCCCGGTTCTCCATTCCCAATAACCTTTGTTTGTTACACTGATGTGCCAAGAATCTGTTTCCACAGCATCCGTTTCCACGGAAGCGACAGCTCGGAAAGAAAAAAAAGTCGAGAAGTAGGATAATGGCATGCCGGAAACGAGGGGGTTCAACAGTTCAACATCCGGAAGCCTGATCGTCAGCCGTGCGAACACTTTGCTTTGACACCCTGCCAATTCACCCCTGCCAATCTCCCCCGCGCCAAAGCACGACAACCCTTCTCGTGTCGTTTTTTTTTTATCGGCTGCCAACACTTTCGCGTCTCGCGTTTCACTTCTCGAATTGGCAGTTTCTTTAGTAAAGGAAAGACGGAGACTCTTACAAAATTGAAGAATTGCAGAATTGAAAAATTGAAGATTTCGGATGCGTGCTAATTTGCTGTTTTTTCAGAGAAAATTTTATTTATTGCATCGTTGAATCTTTGAAATCTTTTGATTGATTTGAAATCATCTGAAATCTTTTTTGACACCCTGGCCATCGGTACTGAAGGGAAGGCAAACCTGTGGAGAAACTCGGAGGAAAATTGGCGTGGGAATTTCGGGAGAAGTAGACGGAGGCATTTGCAGCGAGTGATTGAAACGAGAGCATTTATTTGTGCGGAATTGGGACAGAAAGAAATTTTCTTCTATCCATGAAATTCGCATTCCGAAATACGATTCATCTGCAAAGGAGGCCGAAGGGATGAGGGGGCGATAGGGAAAAGGGGGGGGGGGGGGGGGGGGGGGGGG